TAATTATAGCTGCGGGCGCAGGAAGCGCCGGGGCAGGAAGCGGGGTGTGCCGCCCTCCGAGACTGAAAAACAAGGGTGGCGGAGGTGTGCCGCCACCGCCACGGCCCTGCCGAGCAGCACAGCCCCGGCCCCGCAGCTGACACCGGGCTATGGCACCCCGAGCTGCACCAGCATCGCCCTCCCTGCACCCAGGGGGACCCAGGGCCATCGCCCCATGGCCCCCCCCGCCATGGTCCTCACACTGTCCCACCATCGCCCCATGGCCCCCCCCACCATGGTCCTCACACTGTCCCGGCATCACCCCATGGCCCCCCCTGCCATGGTCCTCACACTGTCCCACCATTGCCTGTGCCCCCCAGCCCCGAGCCCTGGAGCCCCACCAGGGCAAGGTGGATGGTAGGATGGGGTGCTCCTCCCCTTCGGAGAGGCAAGGCTGGCATGAGGCAGCCATGAAGGGACATTAAGACCCTTCTCCCTGAGCAGGAGGTGCTGTCCTGTGCACCTCCAGCTCCCTCCCGGCAGCAGGCAGCCGGTGAGACCTGGGTGATGCCTGGCAGGGCTAAAGGCCACGACACCCCACTTGCCCCCACTGAGAGCCCAGAGGGCCCAGGCACCACTCAGCCTTTCCGTTTCATGGAAAATCCTGACAGTTCAGCGTTTCCTTTGTCCCGGTTCAGAACAAAGAGTCGAAACTTCGACATTTAGCACAGTTACAGAGCCTCTGAAACACTTTGTTTTGGAAAATACTGAAATGCCGGTTTGAAATGTTTCACTTTGACTGTGTCACTTCGGCTGCTGTGGCACGACGAGCTCTGTTGCCTTCTGAGAGGTGAAAGCCAAGGATCCTTTCAGATGCTGACAAAATCAATACGCGCCCATGATACATCGTGCCCTTCTCATATCAGCTTTTCCCAGCGCCCTTTCCCCATTGCTCTCCCCAAGCAGAGACCTCCATCAGCTCCAGTTCCTGCTGCTGGGCACAAAAACCACCCCCGAGGCAGGGCTGCTCTCTGCAGGGTTTTACCTTCTCCCATCAGGTAGAGGCCCTGGCATCTCCCCACGCCGCAGCAGGACAGCCAGCACAGGCAGCCTGGCATCACCCCCCGAGGGCAGCGTGCACCCCACAGCCTCCAGACTCATGGTAGGGTGCAACCACGGGCTCCAGCACAGACTAGAGTGGCCAGGGGAGGAGGAGGAGGATGAGGAGGGAGAGGGGGTCTCCCAAGGGCCAAGTGCAGCGCTCACCACTGGGCTGTGGGGCAGAGATGGTATCTCACAGACTTTCCCACGCCTCGCACAAGCTCTCCAGGCAGGTGATGCTCGGTAGCTGCTGGGGCATTGCATAAATGGAGAGCAGGCTGTTCTGCTGCCCCCGGGCTACAGGGCTGTGCAGATAAACCCCCAGTGTCGGGTGCTGCTGGCCTTGCTGGTGGGGAGGGAGCCTCATGCTCACTGGGAAGCAGGCAGCATGCCCTGGACCTGCAGGCCAGTATCACCTCTCATTGTCCCTCAACTTCTCCTCCTGAGAGTGAAACAGGAATGTTCAATGTCTCAGGATTAGCCCAACACTTATGGCTGGTGTCCCAAGCTTAACTGGGCTGCCCCCTCCTCCCAGACTTCACCCAAACACTGTGGCACAGCTCCCCAGCCCAGCACGGGGCTAGGAGGGGTCAATATTTCCTATGGGAATTGCTATCACAGGCCACCACGATTTGCAATGTTGCCAAAGCATGTGGCGATCCTCCATGCCTAGAACTGAAGCAGCCACCACATGGCAGGAAAGAGACGGTCCTGAAGCTAATTGGGCCCATTAATGAAACAAGGAAGGCTGCAACGGTCTGGCACACCAACTGGTGAGAAAGTATGGCAAGGAATTGAGCTGAGACAGTTTCCATCCTCGAGCAGGGCTGTAACCACAAGACACCTTCCCGGCAGCTGCACTTCCAGGCAGCCCAGAGGCAGCCATGCTGGGGATGATGCTGTGCCCCAGCCAGCACCTGGAGCCCCCAGCAGGTCTCTGAGGGGCTGCTAAGGCAACCTCCACCCCAAGAAGGCATCACAGAAATGGAAGTGCTGCTGACTTGGGGCTGGGGAGGTGGTGGGAAGGGCAAGGGAGTTGGAGCTCCTCCTCACCTCACACGCTGCTGGGGTTGGCAGACAGGTATGTCTACGGGCTGTCGGAGAGGCACGGGGCTCAGCAGCCTGCGTGAGCCATGCCTGAAAATTTAGTCTTCATCCCTGAACATGGGTCACACAGTGTGACTCTGCAAAGAGCTCGGTGGGAGTCATTATCAGAAGTGTCCATACACCTGTGCCAGCCCTCCTGGCACCGCTCTCCCTCTGGAGGCAGCACCACAGGGAGGCGTGGGGGGCTCCTTGCCCTCTCCATCCCACCTGAAGCAAACACCTGCCTGCAGAGCCACCTGCCTGAGACCCGGGACAGGCTTTTCTTCCCCCAGCCGGAGGCAGGCAGGGCTTCGGCAAGGCAAGTCCGGCTCCCACGGAGAGGCTGCTGTGCCCACACATCTCGGAGGAGCAGCCAGGGTTGCAGCTCTCAGGCAGCGTCCAGGGAGGTGGCAGCCCCTGAGCAGAGTGCCGCCGTGGGTCTGGGGCATGAGCTGCAGGCTCTCAGCACAGCGGTTCAGCAGGACACCTCGAGGGGAGAAGGCGAGGAGTGCCACACCACGTGTGGGTGTCACACGTCACCCTAAGCCGTTGGATTTATTTTACGTGCACAGCAGCGTCTTCTGTTTTCACCTTGCAAGACAAAGGAGACAAAGGAAAAGCTCTTTGGATGCTTCTGGAGGTGAAAGGAATGAGCTGTACAAACCAAAGCCGTTCTCTCCCTGCAGGACGGCCCTGCAGGCTGGCACCTGGTGTCTGCAACATGGCTGCAGCCTGGCGCGAAGCCCCTCCTGCCCTCGCACCGACTGCACCACACGGGGGTCCCGATGGGGTGTCAGCACCCAGCTTGTGTCAGGGCTGAAAGCAGGGACCCCCCTGATCTGGGCACTGCCGGCTGTGGCAGACCTGAGCCCCTCGCCTGCCTCCTGCAGAGTGCCAGCAGGACCTTGCCCAACAGGCAGAGGGCTCGGTTCAGCACGGTGCTGAGCCAGGATGGGCATCTCCATGGGTGCTGGGCTTTTGGCCAAAGGGTCCAGCCAGCTTGCCCCGGCCATGCAAGGGCTTGTGTGCACTGACCGGTGTGTGCCCAGCCCGTGCAGCTCTCCGGCTGCAGTTTTCCCATTGGAAACCTGGAGAGTGAACACGTTCACTTCTCAGGGCCCACACCAGCCTTCCCAACACTGCGAACGTGCTGTGCTGCAGCCGCCAAAGGCAGGAAATGCAGCGTGTTACAGATCACACCCACGACAGGCCTCGAGAAACCATAGATGCGGTCAGGCGTCCCCCAGTACCAGCTGTGGCTGAGCAGCCTCAGGGGACGGCGGGGACGACGCTGCTCTCCAATGAGGGGGTATTTCTGAAATGTAAGCAAATGGGCAATTCCTTTTAATATCGGTCACTGTGGTTACTTGCAGTTCCCAAGTAATCTGCTAGATGGCATAATGTAATAATAGTAATAACGATAATAACGACAACGATACATGGGTTGGCTTTAATTGATCCAGACTCGAGAAATGATTTGTCAAATAATTTAAGCAGGCGTTTACCTATTTTACTGCACGAGTAGGTACCACTCTCCTGCTGTCGAGCGCTTGTTCAAACCCGGACAAAGTGCTGTTCCCTGCAACCCTGGAATTTCTATTCTTTCTGGCAGAGGACATGATACATGACACGAGAAGCTATAGCAACGACACAGAGACCAACTTTCTCATTATGTCTGTGACTGTACTCGAGCAACCCCAGCAAGAAATTACAAGACAGCTCCTTGTTACTCGGCTGCTCCGCATAAATAAAGAGCAAAGCATTACTCATACATAATAGCTTTTATTTGCTGCGGGCCCTTCGGCTCTCAGGGCCGGACTAACCAAATCAAAGGGAAGATGATGTTGCAAGAGCGGGACTCCTGCACGGCACGCCCTGGCCGGGAAGGCTGCTGGGGTTTGGGGACTCCCGGAGCGGGGGGGGCCCCGCCGCCACCGTGCGATTTTTTTACCAGTTTGGGAGGTTTTGAGGTCCCGCTTATCCCCCCCGCCCCGGCTGCCCTCTCCATCCTCCCCGCCCCCGCTGCGGCACCCACCACGCGTGGTCGTGGGGACGACACCCGCTGAGCACCCGGGACGGACAAGGAGGGGATCGCGGGCCGGTTCCCCGCTCCCCCCCGCGCCCGGTGCGGCAGCGGCCGGTGTCCCCGCTGGGGGCCGCGCTCGGCGGGCCGGGGCGAGCGGAGCCCGGGAGGGAAGAGGAAAGAGGGGGGGGGTGTCCGCCCGGCCG